CAAAACCCCAAAACCCCAAAACCCCTTAAGAAGCGATTAATTGCTCAAACGCTGGTACTATATATATTGTGAAATATTAAAAGTTAACATATATATATTTATTAAATCAATGGACGGCTCAAAAAGGTATATATAAGAGATTTTAATTTGACATTTATTTAGTGGATCCAATAATAAAAAGGTAAAGCCCAAGAGTGGGGAACCTGTAACTAAGTTTTAATCTAGGAAAGATAAAAGAAGGCAATAAAAATAAGAAAAGAAGCAAAAGCACTTGGACTACTTTTAAAGCAGAACAAAGAAGTCATAGAATGATTATAGATAGTAGTAGAAATAGATTTAAAACTAAAAAAAGCTGAAAGCAGTCAATCTATCAGCATAAAAAGAGACTATTCCCAAATAATAAGAAAGCATTTTAGGTAAGAGAAAGACACCAGATACATTGGTTCAAAAAGCTTAAGTTAAAAAGTTAAAGTCAGCTGAGAAATAAGAGAAAATGAACTTGAGTGCTGACAGAGAAGAGTTCTTAAGATAAAATGAAATTGAGAAGAAAAAGCTTGAATTGGAACTTAAAATGCTAGAGAAAAAGCTGGGTATAAAGAATGATCCAAAGAAAAGGAAAAAGGTAAACTAAGCGATTGAAGTAGAAGGCTATGGTACAGGATTCATGGACTTTTTAGATGGAATTGAGAATAAAATTAAATCTAAGAAGGAAGTCTACAGACCTTAGGATTATGAGTTTAGTGATGGAGAAGGTCCTGAAGAAGGGGATATCTTAATGGGTCAGGAAGATGAAGATCATTAAGTGGGATTTGATGAAGAGTTTTCTGAAGATGAAGATGCTAGTAATGATAACTAAGCCTAAATTGATGATGAGGATAATAGTAATTAAGAATTTGATTAAGATGAGGAAGAAGGGGAAGAAGATGAAGATTAAGATTAAGAGGATGAAATTGATGATGGTGAAGAATCTGAAGATGATGATAATGACGACGAAGAAGAAGAAGAGTAAGAACAAGAAGAGGATGATGAGGAAGAAGATGAGGATAATAATGAGGCAGGAATTCTTGATGATGAGTCTGAAATTGAGGATGATTTGGATGAATTTTATCAATAAAGTAGTGATAGTAATCCTAGTATTTAAGAAAGTGAGGAAGAAGAGGAAAAGATTTAAGTAAAGTTGAAGTAAAATTAAAATCAAAATGAGTTATCAAAAAAAGGTAAGCAACACTTAGGGAAAAATGATAAAATCAAGAAATAAGAGTCTCTTCAATTAGAAAACCCTGCAATTGAGAAGGCTATAAGATCTGTTCTAAATAAAGTAAGTGAAGGTAATCTTGAGATAATGTTCAACAAGCTTATTGATGAAACTAAGGGCTACTTTAAAAATCCCATAACTTACGCTTACTGTTATGCAAAGATTTTTATCTAAATGTCAATTTCACTCTAGCAATAGATGAATGCTATCCTCTCAGTCAACTGTGCTTTTATTTGCGCTTTACATAGAATTATTGGAGATCAATTTTTCGTTACTGTTGTGAGACAGATATTTAAAGAATTCAAAGAGAATCATGCCTTATCTAATACTACAGATGTGTCTGCAGATTAAGCAAAGGATAAGGTTAAAAACATCTTGAATTGCTTTTTGCATTTCTTCTTATTCTCTTCACTAAGTTCCTCTCTATTAATTGACGTTATTAAGATCTTAATGAAATCATTCGAGGAGATAGATATCGAAGTATTGATCTTTTTGCTGCATAATATTGGTCTTCAATTGCGCAAGGCTGATCCCGAGGCCATAAGAGATATAATACAAATGGCTGAGTCAAAGAAGAATAGCTATGCTGTTGAGATCAAAATGGTTCCTGAAAATGACCCTGTCTATGCTAATATGAAGAAAAAGGAAAGGAAAATTGGATTTTTAAATATGGAGCTTTAGGATATTAAGAATAATAAGGGAACAACGACTCTTTAAGTTAAGAGTATTGATCATCTCTAAACTTGGCTTAAAAAGAACTCAAAGATCCAAAGCGAGCTAACATTTCAAGCAGTAGATCTCAAAGCTGAAGTCATAGATTAATTTATTGATGATGATAGTTCTCTCTCTCAGAAATGGTGGCTCCCTGAATCAGATAAAGCAAAAGCCTCAGATAAGTACTAAAAACCAAGAGACTTTAAGGGAGAGTCTAAGTAAGCAAGTGATATTATAGAGCTCGCCAAGACACAACATATGAATACCGACATTAAGAAAGCTGTCTTTTAGGCAATTGTTGGAGCTGAAGATTACATCCAAGCTTTCGAAAACTGCACCAGATTGAATCTAAAAAAGCAATAAGAAAGAGAGATTATCAAAGTATTATTGCACTGCTGTGTGAATGAAAAGGGCGTATTCAATAAATTTTATGCATTATTGGCTTAAAGATTATGCAAATTCCAACCCTAGAGTTATAGGTATTCTTTAAAGTACTCACTTTGGGATTACTTAAAGACTTTGTCAAAGTTTGATATAAGATAAATAGCGAATTTGGCAAAGCTCTTTGCATTCTTGATTGGTGAAAATGAACTGCCTTTGCATTTCTTAAAGGTACTCTAATTTGATGAATTGAGTAAGCCACAGAATTTATTTCTTTATGTGCTTTTGGATGATATTTATGAAAGATAATCTAAAGATCAGATTAAAATTATTTTCAAGAAGGGTATGAATGAAAAGCATTCTGAATTTAGAAAAGGTTTAAGTGAATACATCCTTACGAAATATTATTTGAAAAAGAAGAAGGACTTAAACGGTGAGAAGATGTCCTAAGAGTTGCAAACTAAGATAAAAACTACTTTTGACATTATCAACTAGATTTAGGAGTCAGAATTTATGAACGAAAACGAAAGAGACTCTGATTGAGTTATTTAACAGATGATATATCATCACTTAATTAAAGTTACTTTAATATAAATCTTAATAATTTTACAATTTTTAATCAAGGGGTTTTGGGGTTTTGGGGTTTTGGGG